TTTTTTTTTTTTTGTAGTGTGTGTCTATTTATCCATCCTTTTTCTTCCTTTCCTGTCTTAAAAGAAGATATGTCCTTCAGTTTCTTCTATATTAGCCCCTTCCCATTTTCCCTTCCCCTAGTCCTTGCTCTTTCAGTTTCTGCCTTTCTTCTCCATCACCTTCCAAGTCTCTCTACCTCTGGCTTATTTTGTTGACAAAGAAGATAACGTTTCACCCATTCTAAAAAAATATTCTTTATTTGCTTCTAGCGCCTCTGGCTCACCACCTATTTCTGTGCCTCTATTCAGATGTTCGCATCTTGGACAACTGGTCTGTAACTGCTGCTTCTATGTTGCTTATTCTCTTGTTTAAATTCTTTCAACCTGGCTTTTATCCTCATTTCCTCACTACTTGAACAAAATAACACTCACCATGTCCTTTATAACTTACTCTGTCAATTCTTTCCATAGTCTCCTCAACAGCTTTTCCCTCTCTACTGTTTATTCTGAATCCTCTTGTATATCTTTGCCACATTTCCCTGTCTATCACTGCCACCTGTGACGTGGAGCTCAACAACCTCCAACACTTTCTCATTCTCTATTGAAAAAATCAAGGCATTCACATTCCTCTATAATCTTAGGAAATCAACTTTTTAGTTGTTCAACGAATATTTGTTAAGTACTTATGCTGAGCCACGTGTATCCTCCATTCTAGAATGGTCTAAGAGCTCGAGAATCAAAGAGATCTGGATTCAGAATCCTTGCTTGCCACTTTGGTCAAGTTGCTTAATCATTTGGAAGCTCAGTTTCCTACTTGCTAAGATGGGAATAGTTTTATCTATCTTATAGGGTTATGGTGACCATTAAATGAGATAATAAATAATGTCATAAAATGTTAAAGGGAGTTTTGGCTGAGGCACTGAGGCAGTGGATTCTACGTTTGAAAGGGAAGTGTGAGAGCACAAGGAAGCAGGACTTTCAGGAGAGGTGGATGAAAGTGGGCTACCTGATTCTTGACCCCTCACCTGTACTTTGGATATAATATGTTGGTGGTTGACTGACAGGAGAGTGCTTTGGGGATATGTTTTTGACATAGCATGAGTTTCATCTCACCCTCCTACTAAGGAATAGGGTGGGGAGAAGGTTCCTTCTTCATCCCAAGTCTAGAGAGAGTGGTTTTATGATACCACATTGATGAGTGATTTTATGATACCACTTGACACTTATCCCCTGCAGTTTGGGGAGCACAGTGGATTAGTGTCTATCTCCGCCTGGAAAATCTAAAGTTTGAACTAGGGGCTGGTTAGTGGCTCTGATGGCAGAACAAGGCAAGGTGGCAGCACTGGGTGGTCTGCACTCCCAGAGTTTGCCAGGGTGAAAAACACATGAGTGTTGCACATAGACTCCAGGCAAGCTATGTACAAGGAGCCCATATGGGGTCACTTTAGCTCTTGTCTAAGAGTGCTGCTTGGAGGGACAGAGAGACCACAGCAGAAAGGAGCTGCCTGTATTTTAAGATGCCCAAGGGTGGCAGAGGAAGTTACCACTTGTAACAGAGATGCATATGCCCTAGTCAAGGTGAAAGGTTCTTAGCCATAGGGGAGGGGCAGGGAGAAAGGCGGATCTCCACAAAAGTGCCCTGTATGAAGCACAGTGAGCCTCAAAGGTTTGTCACATCCAGAGAACACCAGTGCCAGATCACTGCAACAGTCCCAGTCAAGTAGGACCTTTCTTGCTCCCCTTACCACCTCTCTCTCC